CGGTGCGTCGGGCGGGCCCCGGACCTCCCTGGTCCTGGGCCACGCGAGGACACGGGGTCCCCGGGCACCGACCCGCAGGAGCCAGCTGGGGGGAGGTCTTCGGTTAGGGTTCTGCCAGGTGTGGGCTGCCTGGGCTTCCCGCTGCGGGGCGAGGCGTCCCTTTCCCCTGCCTGGCATGGTGTCCACCGCTTGCTGGTGGACGCGGAGACAGGCCCAGCGAAGGCGGCAGCCCGTGAGTGCTGAGGCCCTTTGCTGTGTTCTGGCCCGCAGGCTAATGGAAACCGCCAAGGAGATGACCCGGGAGGCCTTGCCTATCAAATGCCTGGAGGCTGTCATCCTGGGCATGTATCCTTTCTGGATGTTTCTCCACCTCCCCAGGGCGGCCCGCTCTGATGCTGGTTGGCTCTCGAGTGCCCGGCCCATGTGGAGCAGAGCTACCGCCTCCTTGGGGATAGTGTGGAGCTGCTCTGGTGGCCCCTGTGATTTTACATGTAGGGGTGACCCAGAGGGAGCGTCCGCTGGAACCACTATCGGGGTGACCGGTTAGTGATGCCTCTGTTGGCGTCAGCTCTCCGGCCAGACTCAGGACACAGGAGTCCAACCTAGAGGGGCCTGGAGGGACAGGCGGTGTCGTCATTTTTTGTATCCACCTGGCATTGTGGTGGAAAACACCCAAAGGGAAGTGCGGTCCCCCAGACCCTTCACCAGGGAGAATTCTATCACCAGCTCCAGAGGTGACCACAGGGCACAGCAGACCCCTTCTGTCTCCCCGCTGCTCCCCTCAGCAGTGGGTTTCAGTCCATCTGCCTGTCCTGCTCCCCACTCTGCCTCTGGTGAACCCTCTCACCCCTGCACCTCTGGCCTGCACCCCAGTTCCTGTATGCATACATGAATACATCTTTAAAAAGAGAGGGAGAGAAAGCTACTTGCAGCACAGCATCGAGAACATTCTCAGTGATAGCAGCGAGCCCCGTGAGAGGATTCACCTGGAAAGAGGGGCAGGGCCTGCTCAGAAAAGGTCCAGGGTCCCCCCTTGAACGTCCAGTCCTCTTACTCTTCCTTGAC